TCCCTTAAACAGACTCTAAACAAGGCTAACTGATAGCAGAAACGAGTCTGACACACTGTTGGATTGAATGGCTGAATTTACAAGGCAAAGATTTTCGGGTTGTCACACAATTACAAATGATGCATCAAGCCCTTCGGTGGAGCATCATCCTTCTAGTAGTACATAAGTAACATATCAACACTCATAAGCTCATCATGATCACCAAGATGACACATCATGACCTCAAGGTGGCACACCTTGACCAAATCTCCATTCATTTCTAGGATGTTCCATTGAATATCCACATGCTCCATTAAGTATCTAGACGCACCATTCAACTTTAGATGCTTCATTGAACTCTAGATGCTCCATTGAATTTCTAAATACTCAATTGAATTCTAGATGCTCCATTGAATTATCAAATACTATAACTCTCATTTCAGGTCTTCAATTCTTAAGTCACATTTAACAATAAGTCATAAACCACACTATTTCTTCATCGGTCTTGGGATCAAACTTTCCTAGGGAACATTTTATTATTGAGTATGAAACACCTACAACCAAATTATGTAAATATTTAACATTATGTTTCTTTGGTTGACATATTCATAAAGAGTAACAAAATGACGTGTAGCTATGTAAATTTCACTTTATGGTCATTCAAATTACCTTTATATCTTCATGTGAGAAGCACGTATTAGGCCAAAGGGTATGGAGCGGGGAAGTGTTGCGGGGAAGGAAACTGCACACTATACCGCCATTGTGGTTTAGAGGGTGCGGGGAAAAGGTGAGGTGAGGCTACCCCACCCTTTCTCTCCTCGTGTGATTGGTCAACCTTATTTATTTATTTATTTATTTTTTCTGTTTTTTAAATATTTATTAAATTATATACATACTAAAAAATTATAAAAAATATATTAAAATTCATGGTTTTTAATTTCCTATAAAACGAGTATAATATTTATATAAATATATTTTTTTTAAAAATAAAAAAATTAAAGGTAGTGAAGTATGACAATTTCCTGTCTTTTGGTGAGTGAAAGGAGAGTGAGGGAAAACCGACATGACACTCAAAAAAAAAAGATGAAAGGTGACCATACGCTCCGGTCTGATGTGTTAACAGATTCTCTCGAACAAAATATATCTTGGAAGGACAACATACACAACAAAATAAAAACATAAGGAGTATATTTAAACAAAAATCAAAACTTAAACCAACCATGGACCAAGTTTGTATTTTACTCCAAATAGTATCAAGTAGACAACCGGCAAGCTGAAATTACGCAAAAAGGCAATATAAAATGACCGAGGTCAATAGTCAATACGTGTCAAGGACAAAACAAGGCAAAAGGAGATACCAGGGGGGGAGGGGGATCTTCAACATTTTCACACACATTCGCCGGCGTATACTCCACGCCGGCCCCGCCAAAATTCCATTTTTCTGTAAAATGTAGGTGGCAAAGTTAACGGAGAAGCACAACAAACCCAAAGAAAAGGACCAAAATCAGTTCTATTTCTCTTCTCGGTTATTCGCCGTCGTCGCCTTCCGGCTTCTCTCCTTCCTCCGGTAACTTCCATTATTTCTCATTATTCATACATTTGTTCTGTTTTGTATTTGCTATTGCTTGGATCCGTGACGCCTTCACTGTTTTTCAGTTGTACGGTGTTTTGACTTTTTTGAGCTCATTATCTTCAGCATATGCCGCATTTGCTAACCCTAATTGATGATTTGTACGGATTAGAGCTCAATGTGTTTGATTCTTGCTGTATTGTGGTAATTGAAGGTCCGAGAGTGGTCCGAAGGTCATGTATTTGTGTGTATGTTTCTCTCCATAGCCAGACTTTGAAGTATGTCTCCATATTGATTAATCGCATTTTCATCAGTGTGATTCATGATGCTAAGAATTACGTGATTATGTATGGGCGTATGGCTTCCAATGAGTAAATCAGTGTTTTACATTCTTAACTACCACACTACACATACATTTTTCATCCATCTGTTTAGATTGTTTCTTCATAGCCTTCAGATTTCCCAAAGGTTTACTTCTGACTTTAGCATCCTTAAGACTAAGCTTCTCTAACACTTTCTTGATGTACTTTTATGTCTGATTATGTTCATGCCAAAGTATTTCTCTTGCAGTCCCCAAATCTTTCCTCTCAAAATTTGAGACAAGTGCCTCTTTAATCTGTTCATTGCTTCATGTCTGATCCTGCTACCAATATATTATCAACATATAACAACAATATTATTTATTATTTTTCAGGAACAGCCATATCAAGCATGATATTTTAGCTTCACTTTCTCCAAAAAAATGGTAAGATCCTACAAAAAACAACATACCACAATTTCTTAATTTTTCCACACAATGAAAACAACATTTTTTTTTTTTTTTTTTTTTTTAAATTCTCAAAGGATCACAACCACTTAACCATTAAGACATTCATGGCCATAATGGCTGAACGAGACGCCGCCATCCAAGAACGCAACCTCGCGCTCGACGAACGAAAACGCGCGTTCGCGGAACGCGACATGGCGATGCTCCAGCGCGACGCCGCCCTAGCGGAACGCAACTCCGCCATGCAACAGCGCGATGAAGCAATCGCCACCCTTCGTTTCCAAGGCACCAACAATAACAACAACAACAACAACAACAACCACTTCATAATCTCAACACTCCCCGAAAACACACCAACCCAAGGGCAAAACCGTAATTTCACCAACCAAGAAATCCACCACATGTTCGAAATCCCCAACGATAACACATACCAAGTCCAAGTCCAAGTCCAATCCACCACAAAATCGAAATCAAAATCGAACTCGCCAAGGGTTGGAAGACGAAGGGGCGAAAGTGTAAAATTCACCAATCAAGAAATCCATCACATGCTTGAAATCCCTGAAGATACGTACGAAGTCGAACCTCAATCCTTCAAAACGAAGGGGGTGAAATCGCCAATGATCGGAAGACGAAGGGGTGAAAGTGTAAAATTGAAGGTTGAAGAATGGAAAGATGAATCGGAATTGAATCAAGTGAGTTTTGATGAATTAACGATGCCGGTTCCGGTGTGTTCATGTACGGGGGTCCCGCAGCCTTGTTATAGGTGGGGGAGTGGCGGGTGGCAGTCGGCTTGTTGTACAACCACCATGTCAATGTATCCTTTACCGCAAGTTTCAAATAAGAAGTATTCGAGAGTTGGTGGGAGGAAAATGAGTGGAGGGGCTTTTAGTAAATTGCTTACTCGACTTTCTTCTGAAGGTTATGACCTTTCTACCCCTCTTGATTTGAAGGAACATTGGGCTAAACATGGGACTAATCGTTACAGCACGGTGAAATAGGTGTTTCTAGGGGTTAAGTTTTAGTTAGTATTTTGTTTAAAGGGAGGGCGAAAAGGTAATTTGGCGTTGGCGTTGGCGTTGTTACCTTTATGTTGTATGTGACAGAAAAGGGATATCGTGTAATTGTGAACTGTATAGTTCTCTCTTGAAATCTATTCATGCATTTTCACACGTGTGGTGTGGATGTAGGTTTGCTTGTTTGGTGTGATGGAATGGAATGGCTAATTCCATTCTCGTTTGGTTACTATTACGGAATGGAATGCCACATTCCTGATCCTTATAACTTGAACTGGCTTATTGATTACAAGGTAAAAAGAATCATAACAATGTAACACAACTATGGTTGCCTTTTTTTTTTTTTTTTTTTTTTTTAAAGATTTGACAACCTAAGTTTTATATTTTTATGCATTAATAATGAAATAAGTTTTAATTATTGCCATTGTAGTATAAGTGCTATTTATTTGAAAGTTAAATGACACTTTGATATTTTATAATTGGATATGGAAAAAATATGTTACAGGACTAATGTGGCCAAGTTGTATTTACTATAATTACAAAAGCAATACTAAATGAAAATCACATTTTATAAAAAACAATAATCATATGGTGATTCGATATACTCAGGATAAGAGGCTCTTGTGGCCACCTAGCAAAGTTACCACAACTGTGCACACCACCCTGGGGTGGGGGTGACGTGGTGCCACGATCGTTGGCATCCATGGTGCATACCATGAAAGACCGCAAACAATTAGCTCTTTCTTCTTTTCTCTCCCTCTCTTCTTTCTGTTCAGCAACACGATAGTTACAGGTACACCAACAATGATGTGGAAGGAGATGGTGGTGAGGTGGAGGGAAACCATGCTGCTAGACATGTCTCCTATACCTAATGGCCTAGGATAACATTTAACGTTTTGAGTGTATTTTTAACGAATCACACAAATGACCATCATTCCCACAACTGATGTGTTGCTGAGTTTTTATATTTTAAAGAATGTGGTCATCATTATTTAAGTAAACGAGTTGACACGACACGACATAAAAAATAAATCGGTAAAGTTACGATTCACGTATCCCTCCTAACTTCCATTCTAGAGATACTTTTCCAGCTTGCTTCTAATACTCAGCCGAGCTCCTCTCATGGTGTCCGTATCTCTTCTCCAGTTGATCAGGGATGACGACTTTAGGCCTTTTGTCTTGTTAGTTCTTTTGTTTTGTTTGTTTGTCTTTGCTTTAGGGTATGTTCCTTAGCTTTGGCTTGTGTCTCGGGTTTGATCGTTTCTTTGTACTCTTTTTTTTTTTTAATTTTTAATTTTTAATTTTTTATTAATAATATTTCCCAAGGGTGTTCTCCCTTTATCAAGAAGCTTTCAACCCGACACTAAGGTTGCACACCATAGGTCCAATTCAACACAATTTTGTTAATAACAATGTCAAGGAACGAGAGTTAGTATTGTATCCATGGAGAGATTATTGCAAAATCTGACTTACAAATAAATGTATGAAAGGAAAATTCTATACGTATCCCTAAAGTCCAAATTGCTTCGTATATACCTTTTTGTGAGTTAATAATGTTTGTGTGCAATTTATTTGAGGAAGATGTATGTATAATAGGAGCACTATATAGTATATACACTCTAACCTACCAAATTTTAAAATTAAAAGATTCTTATTCTTTTAACTATTTGTACAAACACGATTAAAACTTTGAATACTACCTGGTAGTAAAGTCAAAAAGTGGCCAAAAGGGATACAATGTTCATCCAAAAACTTGTTTATTATCCGACAGCGGCATAGCGCCATGGGATCATCGGAATAATATCAGAAGGCAAGGCGCTTGGCCATGGGATCATCGGAATCTACTCTTTCAAGTTCACAATTACAGGTACGCCGATCTCTAACCTAATCAATTAAACACAAATTTATCACAAATCGAAGCATATTCATCACCGTATTTGTTTCTGTGAGGAAGATTGAAGATGGAATCACCACCGTCTCAGAGCGATTCGAAGACGTGGATCCCATGCTAGAGAAGCTTAGATCCCTAAAAATTGTGAGTCTTTTTTCTTTCTATTGACGAACACTAGAACTAAGTGACTTGAGCTTCTTCAATTCCTTCGTTCCATAAATCCTACAAGCTCCTATAAGAATTCAGATGTAGAATCAATGTGCGTCTATTTCTTCTGTTGCCAAAATGATAAATTCATCGCTACAAGTAGTCAATTTGTATTACTTCATTGAGAGTTTTATCTATCAGTTCAGAAGGCGAATTTTGTTCCATATTGGGAATAATTCAAAACAATTTGTTACCATGGCTTTAATTCATAAGTTGATCCTTCTGTTATGTGATACTACTCGATCAGGCAACTCCAATATTGACATCTACATCAACAGAGAGCAGATTGACAGATATTTTGGTCAGGAAACCATCAACTTCTGATTCAGGTATTGGTGCTACTACTGCTACAAGCATTTATAAATCCAGTTGACAATGAACACCTTTAGTCCTTTACATTTAACATCATAAAACAATAAATTGTATTGATCTTCTTTCTTGTGCTTGAAATAGCTATTGTAGATCGGAAAGTGCTACTGGAATTATTCTCAATGTATCAAGAATGGCAAGAAAAGCAGGCTCAAAACATCAACAAAAGACAGGTTTGCTTTTTATAATGGTAAATCCATGTTTGATAAAGCATGTTTTTTTGACCTTTTTGATTAAATCATTCATGTCACATCAAATCAAAAACTTCCATTAATGGTGTTAAGATCCTGCTGTTGGTTATTTATGCAGGAAGAGATAGAAAACAAAATAGAACTTGCAGATGCTTTAGCTGTAAAAATTCTTCAAAGATATAATTACTCTCTCTCAGCAATGAAAACAACATCAAATCACCTTTCTGGAGGTATGCATTCTTTGCTACTTCACAATTTCTCAAATTTGTTTTATGAAATGTAAGGGTAAAATAGTCATTTAGTATTTGTGTTGATTACATTTTTTTTAGTTGATGAGTTACAGGTGGCAATTGGGGAGTTGAAAGGAAGGTTAACTGAAGTGATTAGTAATTGTGATGGTTTATGTAAGAGAATATCTGATGTGGGACCCGAACAACTTCGGTCAACGGTCAAACCTTTTGCAGCAACCATGAGTCATGACCTTTCCTCCTCTACATTAAATGGTGTGCAATCTCAACCTCTTAACAAATAACCCTATTTGTTTCTTGTATAGTTTCTATATATTTTTACATTGTGATGTGATTGCATTTGCGTATCTTAATTACTCCATTTTATGGTGTGAAACATGTGATTAAATTAACGAATATTGATTATACTAACACGAGCTATCAAGATGTTTTAATAACCCTTTCATTTGGATAATCTACCAAGTGACTTCATTTTATAAAAAAAAAGTATTCTACTTTATATTCAATATTTTTTGAATTTAGTGCTTGCAACTTTCACTTCAATTCCATTAGAAATATCAATTTTTTGCAACATTTTTTTTAATTAAATAGTTGTCATTCTTACATATGCAATAGTGAACAACATCCAAAATTCGGTAACAAACATCAAAACAGGTGTCATTCTTACATGGGCAATGGTGTACTCACATACGAGAGATAATATAGTTAACCTTACAAATTTCTTCTAAAAAATCCATAAAAATTTGGTATAGGCTTTAGTTAAATTCATAAAATTCAACAAATTCGTGTATGACTGATAAAATAAACTTAAATTAACAGTTGAATCACCCGCTCAAGATCCCCATATCAGTGAACATAATAAGATAAGAATACGCACCTGATTAAAGATTCATAACTTTGTTAAAATATTTTTTCCCCAAAACAGCATTAAAAGAACAAAAACAATGCATTTCTTCAATTTTGGTTGTAATATCAACTTCATACAACAAAAACAGATTTTCGGAATTAATTTGGGTTGTAACATAGAGAAATAGACTTAGGGGCTATTTGGCAGGATCTAGATTTTTTAAGAGGGTTTGAATTTTTAAGATATGAATTTTTAACATGTTTGTTGAAATCTTTGAATTGTTGTGATGAATTGTAAAAATGATCATTTTACTTTTCTGTATTTTTTTTCTTGAATTCAATGCTTTTGTTTATAAAATAAAGAACCAACTTCTTGACTAATTATAAAAAAATATAAACACCATTAAAAATCAAAATTAAACACAAATCTATCCAATTATAACAATCAAAATTGCTTTGTTTTGGATGACATTGCTATGACTAAATAGAATTTTCAAAATACAATGCTCTAATAGGAAGATGTGAAAGTATGATGCTATAATAAAGAAATCAGTAAAAATACATTGCTATTACTTGCATTTAATCCTTACAAAAACAAGCTTACAATAGCTATGAAAACAACCTGAACTGTATGCTTATATGGATCACATTACATATATACAACCTGATTCATTTACATATCATGACAAGTACAATATCCTTATCCTCTTTCAAAAAAAAAAAAGTACAATATCCTTATCTAACAGAACACACATAAAAACTTTTAATAAATCAGAAATTGAAACATTTCCATGATTATGTGTGTCCAAATTGTAATGTACCGAAAATCCAAGGTAAAATTTTCATTTTTAAAACAATAAAACACACAACGAGTTGTTCCAAACAATTCAAAGTGAATATATTATTTAAACATCAGAGTAATATCATTAATTTCCACTGGGGGAATCTTGTGCAGTCACACTGAGCCCTTCCAGTTTGAACCGAAAGTACCTGAAACCATAAATATGAAACAATAAACACAAAGCTTTGTGAGTTCCCTAAAATACCACATACCACAACCTACAAGTGCCATGGGTTACCCCGTGGTCTTTCCTTGCAATGCTGAGGGTCAAATCTCGATGTTACATACAAGTGCCACAGTCTACCCCCATGGTATTTCCTTGCAATGCCGAGGGCCAAATCCCGGTCTTACATACAAGTGCCAGGGCCAGATCCTGGTCTTTCACGCAAGTATCACAAAGACAACTAACATTCTACATAACAAAGTAATGGGCCGACATTGGTGCCTTCGACCCACGGATATAGTGAGAATACTCACCTCACACTCTGAAAGATCACTGCTCTAAAAGCTATCTCTACCGGTCACCTATATAATTAACAGGAACCCAAATCTCAAACTATAAATTAAATTACCCAAAATGCCCTTAGGTCAAAGTTGGTCAAAATCCTGGTCAAAGTCAAAAGTCAACCGATTCGACCGGGTCAACTCAGTTGAGTACGCTGGGCGTACTCAACACGTACACGGGGCGTACTACGCCTTGACCAGAAGTCAAGGGGCTGACCACGTACGCGCAGCGTATGCGGCTGCCATCCTCCCAATCCATTAAGAGCTTAATCCTTTAAGTTCTTTTGTCCAAAATCCAGATCTAACCCTCAAATGATATCCTGAACCATAAAGTTTCCAATTTTATGGTCTTGTATGGCTATTAAGTCTTCAACATCCAAAAACGCTAACTTCTTAACCCATTAAGACATCCAAGACCATGCATGAAGGAAAACTAGGGACCAAAGTCACATTTTTAGGGTTCCTAATGACTCCATAATGGATAAAGTTTCCAACTTTATCCATTAGAATGATCCAAACAACCAAGATCTAGTCTTTAAGTCTCAAAGGGACCAAATGTGCATCTTTTTCAACTTAATCCATTAAGTCCAAGTCTCCAACCTTTAGATCTGAATCAATATGATGTTTAGATGGATAAAGTTTCCAACTTTATCTATAACAAGGTCATAACTTTCAAGATCTAAACTTTATGCACTAAAGTGACCAAAAGCTCATAATACCCAAAACTAGCTAGATCTAACAAATGCATCATCAAGATTCAAGCTTTTTACCTCTAGAAGAAAGATCAAGGTGAACAAAGTCTGGATCTACAAGCTCCAATGCAACCAACACTTCTCCAATGAGCTATTTCTTTTCAAAGATGCACCAAGAACACTCCAAAACACTCAAGAACACCTTCTTTTGTTCATAAGGCTCAATCTAGGGTTAGGGTTTCAAGGGAGGGTGTTGGAGAGGTGGAGGCTGAGAATGGAATGGGTTGTGGGGAATTAAGGTGCTTAAATAGGGCTCAAACCATGAAAATAAGGTTTGGGCACTGGTTGCGTACGCTCAACGTACTCCTGGTACGCCCAACGTACTCCAGGTATGCCTAGTATACCCATCGTACATGTTGAGTACGTCCAGCGTATGCGGCTTAACCCAAAACCACCCTAACTTCAAACGGTCATAACTTCTTCGTTTCAATTCCGATTTCGACGATCCTTATATCCACAGAAAGGTAATGAGAAGCTCTACAATCCTATAAAGTCTCCTTTTCCTTAAAACTTTCCGAACTTAAATCCAAAATTCATAAAAGGCCCGGACTATCACTTTACGGTTATACCCTTGGGCTCTAAAGCACCAACCGAACTCTCGAATAACCTAATCTACATTACCCACATCCAAAGGGGTCTAAATCTCTCTTTCCCCAAGGCCTGAAGCTTTATGATAACTGATTTTCGGGTCACGACCCCGAATTATGAAACGATTCGAAACAGGGTGTTACAACTCTCCCTTACTTAAATTAGATTTTGTCATCGAAATCACTCCTTACCACCTTCCTGGAAGCCAGACAACCCAATCAATTCCTCTCAAACCCTGCTCTATTGAAGAGGCTGACTTATACTCATAGCGACCTTCAAATGCTACCACTGAAGCCCAACTTTAACCGAACTCATACACCCTAATGGTGAACAATTATCGACCCACTAACTGACAAACCAGCACCTCACTGCTATAATCCCGAAACTCCCAAGAATTTACCTGACCTCCACACAGGTAGGACCATCCCGAAACACAATCACTAGGACATGCTACTGCAATCTAAACTGCAAAACATCATTTTGATCCTGAATTATTCAACTGATACCTTTGGCAGGTAGATTCCTTACCCATAACTCGCTGACGAAAAGATCTTTTATATATATATACAAAGACGACTCCTAACGCGAGTCTCGTCTATTTTCCAACCCAGTGCATAACTCATATCCTTAAATCCAAAGATCTACACTTGCATTCTATCCGAAATTTTCCGATTTCGCGGTAATCTTCAACTAAACCAAGATATCAAATCCCCAATCGACCACTGAGACTGACAGTCTCACACCTGGTCTCACCACCATGCTCCTATTAAGAGTCTAACTGATAAATGCTACCCTAGCCTAAACATCACACGGACACCAATTACTGACCACATAGTCATCCCACTTTAAACGTGATCCAATACCTTGCTCCAACCGATTTTCCACCGGGTCTCACCCACCCTTATCATAACCATACAAACCTCGCCCACGGGTTTCACCCAATCGAGTGTTGTTATAGGCCTAGCCTCGCCTCAGATTCAACGATCCTCATCCCAAACAAAGAGTAATCCTCCGAAAATACTGTCCGCCTCGACCCAGGCATACACTGATCCTCTTTCAGCCCAACGACCACTCCTACTGTGGCCTACCTTAATCTGGTGAATGCTACGACTACATCGTAAACTTACATCACTTCCCTAATAATCTATCATCCTTGTGTATGCTACGACTACCCCGTAGTCTTACAACACTCCCACAACTGCCTGAAAACCTTATGAATGCTACGGCTGCCCCGTAGTCTTACAACAATTCCATACTGCCATAGACCCACCCCATGGTCGTACTGTCTAACTACCAAGCCAACCATGATCATCATGAGTTGGCCCACATCTATATCCCAGTCAGGTGTTCGGGTCATGCTTTGAACCCCAAAGCCTTCATCAGACAAGAACATGTAGAGAGGCTCTAACACAACCCTCGACCTGGATCCGTCCACATGTCTTCTATGCATTACTATGAATGCGTCAATCTGATGTTGAAAGCTTCTGAACTCCCAACCTTGCGCAACCTCTATCCAGACTACCACTTGAGCTGACTTCCCTCCCGACTAGGAGGTGAAACTCTCCCTGGTTCCGCACCTAATTCTATCCTCGGACATCCAAACGGTTCTCCCCCACTTGGATTTAGCTACACACTGCCAAACTAACTGGAAGCAACGAATAATGAATCTCCTTACCAGAACTGATGGATTACCACTCTACATCCCATTCACTGAAGGATTTATGCATTCTAACCATCTTTAATCGATATAACTTCGAAATTTCTTTGACACTTCCAATTGTCTGAACAAGCTCATGCGACCGCCATCATCATCCTCTTGCTACCGCTCCTTCCCTAACAATGGTAGCAATCAGACCTAAAAGTCCTTCCATAAACGATCGCCATCCTTGCTGAGGGATGCAACACTTTT